CACCACCACCACCACCACCGAGGAGAAAACCTCCGTTGAGAACCGATGGTGCCAACTGCAGGGCACAGTCCAGGCGACGGTCCTGGCCGTCCTCGGTCGTGCACGTCGCCAACACGAGGACTACTTCGATGAAAACGACACCGCCATCAGCAACCTGCTCGTCGAGAATAACCGTCTGCACAAAGCCTACGTCAACCGTCCCAACGACGACAACAAAGCAGCCTACTACCGTAGTCGTCGCCTCGCTCAACAGCGATTGCGCGAGATGCAAGACGGCTGGACGGCTCGCAAGGCTGATGAGGTCCAAGGGCACGCGGATCGCAACGAAGGGAAGGATTTTTTCTCTGCGATCAAAGCCGTCCACGATCCGCCAAACAAATCAGCTGCAGCACCGCCAACTGAATCAACCGCACCTATTCTCGGCTTCGACGACAGTGCCCTCCTCACCGAGAAGACACAAATACGACAGCGATGGGCCGAGATCTTCCGAGGCGTCCTCAACAGCCCCTCCACCATTTCCGACGCCGCCATCGCCCGTCTGCCTCAGGTGGAGACCAACGTCGAACTCGACCTCCCGCCCTCTATGCACGAAACCATCAAGAGACAATCTGGCGTGCATACGTACGCTTTCGATAAATTCTCATCAGGGCTGTACGTTTGTATTGCTGGTATTACCGACAAAGACAAGGAAGACTGAGATGTCCATTTCTGGTTTATTAACCGTCGCCAGCCGGTCATACCCAACCCCGAAGTGTGGAACACCCGAGGCTCTAAATCGCGACCTGTTATTTAGAAGTCCAACGTTTCTAACTGACGCCCGGCTGACGACAGCTAATATGCCAGAAATGACCATAACAGTCTCACTTGTGTTCGCCGTTAATATCATTCTGCCTCTATCCTGCGTCGCTGTGCGCCTGCTGGTTGGGCTCTAGATAGGGCCCGTAAGGCACAACGGGACGAGCGAGTCCCGTAGAAACGATCGATGAACGCCGCTCTACCAGTTATACTGCTATCGAAATGATTAAAATGAAAATGCGGGCAAGCAGAACTTATTCTGCAGCTGGGGTTTGAGGGGAGGATCTGGGTGGGTGAGGTGAAAAACAAGTTTACCGTCAGTGTCAGGTGGGAGAAGGGGAAGGTTGGCACTGGGACGGGTAATTATATGCGGGTAGCTGGCATGGTGGCTTTGACGCATGGTAACTGTAGGGCCTGTACGAAGTACTTTTGTGCGCATAGAACTGGTTTGTATATCCTGATTGCAGCCACCTCTGCTGTTGCCAACAGACGCTGTCCAAACGATATTGGGGACCTTGACAGGACCTTGTAAACCACTCGGAATGCCTGTCCTGCATCTACACAGTGGTCTGTGTCTGACAGTTCGACCGTCGATTTCGACGATGTCCACCGTGCGCCCCACAGCTGCAGCAGCATCGATGGGAGCAGGGACAGTGACTTACGCAGGGGTTTATAGTGCCGGTAGACTTGCGCTGCATCTACCTACACTCTCTCCTCCTCCCTCGCCCGAGCCCGGTGTCAAGACAGAGTCAAGAAGACCGGAGATGAGGGAGGCCGCAGGTGGATGGCTCGGACGGATCCTTACCTTGGCGTTCCACCACACCCCCTGGTTCATACAATAAATAACCAGGATTTTCACCAACACAACAGAGTTTGGAGGCTGGCACGACCGAAGCCGCACCTAGGCGTGCCGCCAACGTCTGGCTCGGATCCCACACTGTGGTGGGAGGGCCAAAAAGGTCACATTAAAAAGGAGCCATTGCAGCCTGACTCTCAGACCCCCACGAGTCGAGGAGGAGGTCGAAGTTACCCCGTCAGTCGGCAACCTTCCGAGCCACGGCTTTTAGCGCACCGTGATAGCTTCAAGCGCGTCAGATTGATTATAGTGAGGAAAATGCGCTGAGTCGTCAACCTCACTCTCCCTTCCCATTCCCACACCAGCCGCTGTCCGAGCCGGTCAACAGACTGGAGTCGGGAATGGGCGCGGTGGCTGCCATGGTCGACTGACCATGCCTGCGCGCGCCACAGCACAACCTGGCCCCCCATACACACAAACACCAGGATTTCACACAACGGGGGTTGAACCGCGTGTCTCTCACTTACGTGAGAGGGTTGTGGAAGGTCCTGCTTTAGCCCGTCCCCGTCCCCGGCCCACCAGTCCGCCACTCCACACAACACACACACACACAACGCGACGAACTGTGTGGACCGAGTGCGGGCGTCATTCATCAACCTTCCTATCCACGACGCTTGACGTGTCGGGATAGTCTCGGACTCAAGTCACCCGTGCAGCCGAAGCCGCATGGGGAACGAGTCGAGATGCACACTTCCCACCTGCGTGGGAGGTGGCAGTTGGGTGCTTGCGGTGTGAGGAAGGTAGGGAGTGTGTGGATGTGTGGTGTAACCGGCGGTTGTCTACCGCAGGTCGTCGTGGATGCACATGTGGCCGAATAGGCCCATGCGGTGCCTGAAAGTGCGAGGACAGTGCGGGCAGTTGAGTCGAGCTTGGTGGGTATAGGTTGGTGCCCCAGGCACTGGTTCGCCAGTCTCTGTGCGATGGATTCGCAAGTGACCGACCAGGCCGATACGTTAGGTGAACGTGCGTTGGCAGTGTGGGCATGAGAGGTCGGCGGTGTCGGTGTCAGTTGCAGAGGAAGCAGTGGTGTTGGTGGTGGAGGTGGTGGTGATGGGCGCGTATGGCGATGGAGCGAGGGTGGTGCTGGACATGGTGAATGTGTTGGATGTGGTGGGTGTGTAGGAATTGTGGTCAATTACGCTCTCGTGAGTGCGCATGTGGCCGAATAGACCCATGCGATGCGTGAATGTGCGAGGGCAGTGTGGGCAGTGGAGTCGAGTGCGGTGGGTGTAAATTGGTGCTCCAGGCACTGGTTCGCCTGCCTCTGTGAGATGGATTCGCAAATGACCGACCAGGCCGATGTGTGAGGTGAAGGTGCGGTCGCAGTAAGGGCAGGTGTAGTCCTGATCCTCACCCCTGGAGTCGGAGGTTGGAGGGATGGTGTCGGTTGTTGTGTCGCGTTTGGTGATGTGCGAGACGGCCGCCGTTGGGGCGGTGGTGGAGGAGGAGGAAGGAGAGGAGGATGGAAGTGGTGGTTCAGAAGAAATGTCAGAGTTAGTTGGCGGCGGAGAGGACGAGGCAGATGCGGGCGTAGGGGCGGCGGTTGGTGCGGTATAGGAGGTGCAGTTGGTCCGAAGGTGTCCAATGAGTCCAATTCGTGCCCGGAATGTCCGTTGACATCGAGGACACGTTGCAAGCGGATGTGTGTCGGCGTTGCGGACGGGGCGTAGCTGTGATTTGCGTGTCTCGCGTTTCACTTTGGTAGCGGCGATGCTGTTGGCCTCATAGATCACGGCGCCTGTCTTCACTTTCCTCCTCCAGGTCGGTCGGTCGAGGGCGAGCTCTTCCCAGTTGGTCGGGTTAATTTGCAGATGTTTAAGGGAGGACTTCAGGGTATCCTTGTAACGGCGAATTTGGCCTCCTTGGCGGCGAGAGCCCGTCGCGACATCACCGTAGAAGAGTCGTTTGGGTAGTCGCTCGTCATCCATGCGCACCAGGTGGCCGCTCCTGTGCAGCTGCATTTGTCTCAGCATGGTGTAGATGCTGACGATTCCCGTCCGTTCCAGCACATCAGTGTCGGGGATTCGATCCTGCCAGTCCAGCCCCAGGATGCGACGAAGACAACTGAGGTGGAAGTGGTTCAGACGGTGTGCCTGCTTTGTGTACACCGTCAAAGTCTCCGCTCCATACAGTAGCGTCGGCAGGATGACGGCCTTGTACATCTTCAGCTTCGTGCTCATTTGAAGACCATGACGATTCCAGACTGTACTTGGAGGCGGCCGAAGGTTTGACTGGCTTTCGAGGTCCTGCGAGCGACCTCGTCATCTATTTTGGTGTTAAGGGAGAGGATGCTGCCCAGGTACAGGAAGTTCCCCAACACTTGCAGTGGGGTTCCGTTCACACTGATTTGCGGCGCGTTGGGAGAAGTGGCTGAGTGGGGTGGCGGTTGGTGCATCACCACCGTCGTCTGCGTGTTAATGACCAGGCCGAAGTTCTCGCAGGCGGCGGAGAAGAGATCCATGCTCCTTTGCATCTCCTCTTCCGAGGTGGCGTTCGGGGCGCAGTCGTCGGCAAAGAGAAGTTCGTGAACGGTGGTTGTGGAGACATGCGATTGAAAGTGCATCCTCCGGTGGTTGAGCAGTTGACCGTCCGTCCTGTAGGCGATGCAGGTCCCAGGGCGTTCGTCACGGTAGGCCTCCATCAGCATGGCAGTGAACATGAGAGTGAAGAGAGTGGGTGCGCGGACGGAGTCCTGCATCACTCCGTTGGTCACTGCGAATGCCTCTGCGACAGCTCCATTTCCTGTTACTCGCGCCATCGTGGAGCTGACGTACCACGTGAATGAGTAGTTCGGGACAGCCTAATTTTTGCATGGTTTTCCGCGGTCCTTCGCGATTCACCGTGTCGAATGCGTTTGTCAGACCCATGAAAGTAGAATATAGGTGGGTCCGCATTTCCTGACACTTCTCCTGAAGTTGACGGGCGGCGAAGATCATATCCACGGTCCCGCGATGACGACGGAAGCCGCATTGGCCTTCCGGCAGAAGGCCCTAATCCAGATGATTATTCAGACGATTGAGGAGAATGCGAGCGAAGATCTTCCCGGCGATGTTCAGTAGGGAGATGTCGCGATGATTGTCGCAGATTTGGCGGTTCCCTTTTCGCTTGTAGAGATGCACGATTGTTGCGTCTTTGAAATCTTGCGGGACTTCATCTTGACGCCACATCTCCTGGAAGAGCGCAGTCAGATGATCCATCAGTTTGGAACATCCATACTTGTAGACCTCAGCAGGAATTGCGTCCGATCCGGGTGCTTTCCCGCTGGAGAGCTGCTGCACGGCTCTAATGGTATCCTGGAGAGATGGCGGGAGGTCGAGGTCCACGTTGGTATCCACTTGCGGCAAACGGGCGATGACGGCGTCGGAGATAGCGGAGGGGCGGTTGAGGACGCCTAGGAAATGCTCGGTCCATCGCTGCAGGATTTGCGTCTTCTCAGTCAGGAGAGTACTGCCGTCGGCGCTGAGGAGAGGAGCAGTGACCTTCGTGGGCGGACCGTAGACAGCTTTGATCGCGGAGAAGAAGTTCTTCCATTCGTTGCGGTCCGCGTAGCCTTGGATCTCCTCAGCTTTGCGAGCAGTCCAGGCGTCCTGCATCTCGCGCAGTCGTTGTTGAAGGTGGCGGTGACTGCGGTAGAAAGCAGCTTTGTTGTCCTCAGTGGGGTGGTCTACGTAGGCTTTGTGTAGGCGGTTCTTCTCAGCAAGCATATTTCTGATGGCGGCGTCGTTGTCGTCGAACCAGTCCTGGTGTTGGCGGGGAGCGCGACCGAGGACGGCGAGCGCCGTCGACTGGACCGTGTCTCGCAGTTGGCACCAGCGGTTCTCCACGGAGGCGTTCTCGGCAGCGGCAGCATCGGCGGCGGCAGCGATAGGAAGGTTGTCTAGCCATTTATCTAGCTCATTGCTAAAATAGAGATGCTGAGAGGGCAAAGACAACAAGGCAACATTCAGCTTACCTGGGGGTCGCATATCTTGTGGTCTCCTGCGAGGCGGAGGCGAATACGCATCTTCGATATGAAGAGGCGATGGTCGGTCCACCCGTCAGCGCCCGCGATCACCTTTGTCACCAACACGTCCCACTGGTCTCGCCTCCGAACGAGGACATAGTCCAGTAGGTGCCACTGACGCGACCGAGAATGCCTCCAAGTGGCCTTCTCTCGCTCCGGCAGACAGAAGAAGGTGTTCTGCGCAGGTGCGGAGGAGCAGCAGACCATTGTCGTTTGAGCCGCGGAGACCGTGGGGACCCAGCACTTCTCTCCAGGTAGCATGGTCTATGCCGACGCGGGCGTTGAAGTCACCAAGGACAATCAACTTGTCCGCCTTCGACACAGTCGCCAAGAGGGCGTGCATGTCCTCGTAGAATTTGTTTCTGACGGCGTCGGGGTTGGTCATCGTCGGAGCGTAGGCGCTGATGATGGTGGCGAATTTGCCCCCACCCCGGAGAGGCAGACGGAGGCTCATCAGGCGATCGTTCATGCCCTGCGGCAAACAGGGCAGTCGCCCCACGATGTCGTTCCGGATGGCGAAGGCGATACCCGCGTCTCGTCGCTCTGCCCTGGGGCGACCGCTCCAGAAGAAGGTGTAGCCGGCACCCACCTCCTCCAGTTGGCCTTGTTCGGAAAAACGGGTCTCGCTGAGTGCGGCGATATCCACCTTGTAGCGCGCCAGTTCCCGGGCCACTGGCGCCGTCCTCCGTTCTGGTCGATTGGACATCGGATTGTCTAAAAGGGAACGAACATTCCAGACTGCCAGAGTGAGCGGACTCACCCTGCCAGTCTGACGACGAGTGGGGCGACGGGAAGGAGGTGGAGAAGAAGGTGACGAAGGAGAAAAATAGGCAGAGGAAGAGGAAGAAGAGGTAGGATGAGGAGAGCGAGTAGTGTTGTTATTTCGATTTTGGTTGTTTCGATCGTGAGTTTTACATCTGTGACCACTGTCAGCCTGCAGACGACGTGGTTCCCCAGCAATTTTTAGGCCAGCTTTTCCAGGCCCCCTCCGAAGAGAAGCAGTGCCCTGTCCCTGAATAGGGCTGCTTGATGTGCCGGCGCGTCCGAACTCCACTGTGGTCCACGAGATTTTCTTGGCAGTAGAAGATCGACTCGAATTTGCCAATGGCTTTCGACATCGTCGTAAGCCCGCGGTCTCCTACGGTGCACCAGATGGGCGCGTGTCAGCGATGTCGATTCGAAGATCCATCCCACCGGCTGACCAGCGGCGTACCAGACGGAGCCTCTTCACGACGGTGCCGACACGGTGTTCCATCCGACCAACCGTCCAACGGAGTCCGCAGTACCCTGTGCACGTGACACAACGCGCACCGGGAGTAACCGCCCTCACCGGGTATAGCCCGCTGGTCGAGGCGGTTGCCCGGGGTGTGGCCGCTGAGCAGAGCCCAGCTACATGGAGCCAAAGGTGAGAGTTGGGTGACGGCAAATGGACGCTAGGCGTAGTCTCACCTGCAAGCAAATGAGCGACCACTACGACCGTCACGTGAACCCACCGCTGACACCCCTACACCCCGGTCTGTGTCTACAATGTGGGCGAGGATAGAACTGTTGACGTTCTTTATTTGGCCCTTGCCTAACCATGCTGGAAGGGGTTCTCTTATTCTTTTGGACAAACGCCGGCTCGTGCGACCAAGATATTCAGCCCTACAGGAGCAAATACACATAGAAGTGGTCTGGGCTGGCAGTTTGTCCTTGCTCTCTCCGTGTAGGATGGGACTAGTGAAGAAGAGCACACGGGCGTCAGTTGCTGGAAAGGTGCGTGATACTGCTTGAGTTATGCGCCTTCTTAAAAGTTCACTTGGCGCGCCCCCTTGAAATGGGACCCTGATGAAAAGCTTCTTCTTTTCTGCCGTCAGCATCGGGAACTTTGATGGTCTTTCGGCCATGTACTTGGCAATGAATCGATCGGGGTGCCCCCTCTGGCGACAATCTCTCTAGAAAATCTTAAGTTCCTCCCCAATGCTATCGTCCAAGCAGATACTTCTTACTCTTTGCGTCAAATAACGGACTAAAGTGCGCTTCATGTTTAATGGTATGAAACTCCCAAAATTTGTGTATTGCCCGGACCACGTCTTCTTACGATAGACGCTACGCCGAATACTACCGTCACGCCTTCTACTTAAAAGTACACCCAGAAAGGGGATCGATCCAAATTGCTCTTCTTCCAGAGTAAATCTGATTGAGGGGTGCGCCAGACTGGTATCATCCAGTAGATCTGAAACGTCGTTTTGTTCAGGTGCAATCGCGAGCGTCCACAGTATCTCGGACCATTGGTCTGGCGACTAAGCTCGAAAGCTTCTAGCTTGCACATGAACATGTTCGCCAAAAGAGGACCAAGGGGCGAGCCCATAGCTGCTCCGTCTATTTGTCCATACAGATTGTTGTCAAATAGGGAATGTAGGTTTAGGGTACATCTCCGTAGAAATTCCTTGAGTGCATACACCGGCATTCCTATATCCTGATTATTAGAGGTAATGAATTCACAGAGGTAGTTGACGGTTTCTGTGGCCGATACCGTCGTAAAAAGAGACGAGACGTCCGGCGAAAACATAATCATTCCGTTTGGGTTGAGATCTTTAACGCCATTCACGAATTCAAAAGTAACGCTATAGCTATGTGGTGCTAGCTGGTATTATATGGACTTAGGTTTCTCCCCTAGCCATTATACCATCGCATGGTACGGCGAAATTCTCATGTCTAGGAATGGAAGAGCAGGTCATTAAGACCGTACAACAGCTCTCCAGCAAGAAAGCGCCCGGATCGGACGATATTCCTGCAGAGATCTACAGGCACGATGACCCCCAACTCAGGGATCATCTGACGGCACTATTCCAGGAGATGTGGTGTCAGGGAAAATTCCCACAGGATTTCAAGGACGCCACAGTCGTGCATCTATACAAGCGCAAAGGAAACCGCCAAATCTGCCACAATCACCGAGGCATCTCCTCACTGAACATCACCGAGAAAGTCTTCGCTCGCATCTTTCTCGACCGCATGAACAACCATCTGGAAGAAGGTCCCCTGCCGAGAAACCAGTGCGGCTTCCGTCATCATCGTGGAACCACGGGCGTGATCTTCGCCGCCCGCCAACTGCAGGAGAAGTGTCAGGAGATGCGGACCCACCTGTAATCTACCTTCGTGGGTCTGACAAACGCATTGGACACGGTGAATCGCGAAAGACCGCGGAAAACCATGCAAAAATTAGGCTGTCCCGAACTAATCACTCACATGGTACGTCAGTTCCACGATGGCGTGAGTAACAGGAAATGGAGCTGTCGCAGAGGCATTCGCAGTGACCAACGGAGTGATGCAGGACTCCGTCCGCGCACCCACCCTCTTCACTCTCATGCCCTCTGCCATGCTGATGGACGCCTACCGTGACGAACGCCCTCGGATCTGCATCGCCTACAGAACGGACGGTCAACTGCTCAACCACCGGAGGATGAACTTTCATTCGTGTGTCTCCACAAGCACCGTCCACGAACTTCTCTTCGCCGACGACTGCGCCCTCAACGCCACCTTGGAAGGGAACATGCAAAGGAGCATGGACCTCTTCTCTGCCGCCTGCGAGAACTTCGGCCTGGTCATAAACACGGAGAAGACGGCGGTCATGCATCAACCGCCACCGGATGCTGTCTGCTTTACACCCCAAATCAATTTGAACGGTGACCAACTGCAAGAAATGGATAACTTCACGTATCTGGGCAGCACCCTCTCCCACAGCAGCAACATCGACAATGAAGTGGCCCGCCGGATTTCCAAGGCCAGTCAAGTCTCCGATCGTCTTAAAAGCACAGTTTGGAATCGCCACGGTCTTCAACCCTGCACGAAACTGAAGATGTACAAGGCCATCATCCTACCGACGTTTCTATATGGAGCTGAGACTTGGGCGGTATACATTAAGCAGGAACGCAGACTTAATCCCTTCCACGTCAGTTGTCTTCGTCTAACACTGAGGATAAGGTGGTGGGACCGGATCCCTGACACGGATGTAGTGGATCAGACGGGAATCCTCAGCATTCACGTTATGCTGAGACAACTGCAACTACGCTGGAACGGCCACCTCGTAAGGATAGACGACGAAAGGCTACCTAAACGACTCTTCTATGGAGATGTCTCAGAGGGTTCGTGCCGCCTAGGAGACCAGATCCGTAGCTACAAGGACACTCTGAAGACCTCCCTGAAGCCTCTACAGATCAACCCTACGAATTGGGACGACCTTGCCCAGGACCGACCTATGTGGAGGAGGACAACGAAGACAGGCACCGTGATCTACGAGGCCAACCACATCGGCAGCGCCAATCCGAACGCGAGGCTCGCAAATCTCAATTGCACCCAACCCGTACCGCCAACGTCCAACCGCCTCCAACGCGCTCACTGTGTTAACGGACATTTTGGGCGCCAACTGGAAATGGTGGACACCTTCGGAACAAATACAGCACCCGAACTGCACCAAGCGTCATGTCTCCGTTCCCCTCTTCCTCGCCTCATACGCCGCCAACTAACAATGACTGCCCTCCCGAACCACCACTACCACCCTCCTTCTCCTCCTCTACGTCTGCCGCTGTGGCGTCTGCCATGCCCATCAACAGTACACACAATCGTGACGCACCAACAAACACCAACACCGTCACCGTCGACATCAGCGACGAGAACCTGATCTAAACCTGTCCTCATTGTGACCGCATCTTCACCTCATGCATCGGCCTGATCGGTCACTTGCGACTTCATCGCACGGAGACTGGCGAACCAGTGCCTGGAGCACCAACCTATACCCACCAAGCTCGCCTTCACTGCTCACACTGCCCTCGCACTTTCACGCATCGCATGGGCCTACTCGGCCACATGCGCATCCACAACGACCTGCGGTATCCAACCGTCGGCTACACCACACCATCACATTGCCCCTCACCAGCATCTCACCGCACGTCTACATCACTCAGCGCAAACACCCAGCTACCACCTCCCGCACAAGTGGGAAGTATGCGTCTCGGCTCCTTCTCCGTGCGGCTCTCCTGTTGCATGTGTGATCGGAATCTGAGACGAAGACGGTGCGTCGAGCGCCGTGAGTCGGAAGGCAGCCGACTGACGCCCCAACTCAGCCCACGAAGTCTGCCCATTTTTGCAGTCTGCCCAGTTGTGTGTGTTGTATCGAGTGGCGGACTGGTGGGCTGAGGGCCAGGCTGTCACGGTACCTTTTCAAGCGATCTGTGACACTGTCAGGCATGTGAGGAGAGAGAGGGAGAGTGAGTGTGTGTACTTTATGGGTAGTGCCTCTCAGTCGACGACCGGTTGGTTACCCAACCTTGAAGGATGACGGCCCAGGCCAAATGCAGGGCCACGTATCGCCCTTCTAGATCAAAAGGTCTTAAAGCGTGTGTTATATCAGTATCCGCAAGTCATGGCCCTCGCAGCCTGGTATGTGCTGGCAGTTCCCTGACACCTAGTCCCCTGCCAGTAGATGGGCTTGCGTTCCCGTAGGGTATACAGGTGGTGGGCATGGTTGCCCAGTAATCATCCTCGTCCATCTGATACCTGTTGATGTGTTGTTGTTATTGTTGTTGTTGGTGATGGAAAATCCTGACCAGGTATATGTTGTGGACCAGGGGTGTGGTGGCACACCTATGTGCAGGTCCGGCCATGTCAGCCACCTGCGCCCTCCCCCGCCTGCTGTCTTCTTGACTCTGTCTTGACACCCGACCCGTGCGGGGAGGAGGAGGAGGAGGAGAGAGGGCTGTAGATGCTGCGCAAGTCTGCTGTCACGATAAACTAAATGACGCAAAAGTGGCCGAGTTTATTGGGAAATAACGAATTCTTCCTTCAGGGACAGAAAAGAATGTAATCGACAGTTCATTCGAATTCAAGCTTTGCAATACCTTATTTTAGATCAGATTGCCTGTTTTGAAACGACCTCAGGCAGGCTATCATGGAGAAGAGATTGCTTAAGTACGGTTACAATGCTGATTGCTGGATAAGACAGTTAAGGTTTCTCGGCTATTTTCTGCAACTCAGAATGCTGCCTTTTGAGTGAAAGCCTTACTAGGCAATTACGAAAACCAATCGCAGGCAAAATGAATAGGTAATTGGAATCAGTGCATTTCAGTTCAGTTTTATTAAGGGAAATATAGGCTAGCGCTCTCGAACTCCCGATTAGTTGCAAATAATTTGCGAAAAGCACGGAGAAATTCAAAGTTGGAAAAGAGATTTTGTGCATTATTGCATGTGGAAAGCAGAAGACTGTAAGCCATTCAAAAATAGTTATCATTGACGGTTACTCACTCATTGTAAGTAGTATAAGACATATATAGTTTGGGTGATGGCCATGTGACTGTGTATGCGGCTCGTAACTGGGAAGCTTGATACGCGTCAAGTCTACACTCAAAGTAATTTACACTAGAGGATATTACAACACCGGTAGGCAGGGCATTCCACGCTGCAACCACTCTGTTACTGAAAAAGAACTTCCGTCCATTGATTCTTGATTTCCCTGCGCGTAGTTTTAGGGGATGACCGTGCAGATTGGGCGTGTTAGCTTGAGCGAAGTAATCACTGGGATCTAAGCAACAGTCTAGGTCGTTTATAATGCGGAATGTAAGTATAAGGTCACCGCGTAGTTACCTGTAGGAAAGGGTAAACAGGTTGAGAGTTGACAGTCTGGCTTCACAGGGCAGTGCTTTCAGACCTTCTGTCATTTTTGTCATCCATCTCTGAACTTTAACACTGTGTAGTCCTTAACAGTCCAAGGCCTCCGTGCCTGTATGGCGTATTCTAGATGAGGTCGCACGAAGGTGCCAAATATTTGGGAAAAGCATTCAGTGTCAAATCCCATAAAGGCTCGCCTAATGAGTTGTAATGTAGCCATAGCCGAACTAGCCGCCTTCGCGCAGTGCAGTGTTGGTTTGAGTGAAGATGTAATCCACACACCCAAGTCCTTCTGACTGTCAACTTGTTTAAGTGCTGCACTGTGAAGAAAGTAAGTCCTGGGGCTGGAGGTTCTGCAGCTGCACTTACCTACATTGAAGGGCATAAGCTGGCGCTTCGACCAGTCCTCGTGCCTGTTCAAGTTTGTTTGCAGGCGGTCTGCGTCTGCCGCATTGTGAATAACTGTCCCCAATTTTATGTCGTCAGCAAACAGGATGGCATCACAGGCTAGGTACTCGACGAAGTTATTTATAAAAACAAGGAATGGCGTGGGGCCTAAGACTGAACCCTGTGGGTCGCCACTCACCACGCATCTCTGAATATTGTTGGCATGCGACTCGCACTCTTTGAGACCGTCCGGTTAAAAAGCTCTGGATCCAAGCAAGATGGCGTCCGCAAATTCCTGCGTCGCACATTTTGTGCAAGATACGTTGGTGAGGAACGTTGTCGAAGGCCACTTTGAAGTCGACGTAGATGGTGTGCACCACACTGCCTCCTTCACGTGCTTTGATCCAGCGTTCGAGTGAAACGAGCAAATTCGTGTGACAGGACCCACCACTTCGAAAGCCGTGTTGGGCATCGGAGGGGAGGTGTTGCTGCTCGAGGAACTGCATCAACGCTTTCTTGGTAATTTTCTCCATGATCTTGCGCCAGATGGACGTAAGACTCACCAACCCGTAGTTATTCGCAGATGCACGACTTCCACCCTGAAAAAGCGGAGTGATGGTAGCGAACTTCCAGTCGGAGGGTAGGCACTCAGTAGCAAACGACGTTTGGAAGTGCAAGGCTGACGGTTTGACCAGTTCGGGGCTGGCTCCTTCAGCAGCTTAGCCGGGATTGCATCAGGGCCTGGGGAGGTCGATGCCTTCAGGTTAAGTAACTTTCTGAACGATTGCCTAGGCGAGGAAGACTATTTCAATGGTAAGCGTTGCTTCGTCTTTACAAGTGGGCGGGAAAAAATCGAATTCACATGTCATGACGGACCGGAAGAACTGAGAGGTTTGCCCAGCCTTATCCTTGTCATCTGAGATTTCCGTGCCCTCCGCTATTCGCAGCGGTGGGATGGGATCTTTTTTCAGTTTACTCTTCCCTATGTAACCGTAAAGGACTTTGGGACCTAGTGTGGCACGGTTCAAAAGATCCTTTTCGAAGACTTGCTGTTCTCTGGCGATGAGAATTTTAACCCGGTTTTTCTGTAACCTATAACTGTTTAGGGATTCTGGCGTCCGGCCAATGGGGGATCTTTTAAATAGTTTCCTCTCCTAGTTAACTTCCTTCTTTAAGAACGGAATCAACCAGTGGGGTCTATTCGTTAGTCTTCTGAGCATGATTGGGCAGTGGTTGGAGATGAGGCTGTGGACCATCTCTTTGAACTGACACCAAACCTTTTCGATATCGCCGGAGAGTGTGGATGCCCAGTCAGTAGGACGAAGATCCTTTTTCATCTGTTCGAAATCGCCGTGCCAGATAGTGGGTCGGGAATCGAGCGTTTGCGAAGGTAGGGAGAATAAGATGTATTTCCACATGAGAACTATAAGGTCGCTCTGACCTAAAGGGGGAGGTAATTCACAACGTCGATGTTATCAGAAGACTTAGTGAACACAAGGTCGAGGCAGTTCATTTGCTGGTCCTCACGAACTCTCGTCGGAAACGCTACGTGTTAGGTGAGAAGCAGACTGTCGGAGGTATGCAGTAGCTGCTGGTCAAATGCGATTTCAGAGCAGCCGGCGGAGGCCGAGCTCCAGTCGATGTGATGTGCAGTAAAGTCCCCAACGAAGAGAATATTCGGTCGTGTAGAAAACAATTTGAGTTCATCCAGCAGTTGGGCATCCAGCATTGATGAAGGCAATGTGGTGCACGCCATCTACATCGACTTCAAAAAGGCTTTCGGTAGCGTTCCTCACCAACGTCTCTTGTACGAACTGCGCAACGCTGGAATTCCTGGACGCCTTCTTGTATGGATCCAGAGCTTTTTGGCTGGACGGTCCCAAAGCGTGCAGGTCGGGCGTCAACAGTCCTCAGATGTAAGCGTGGCGAGTGGCGTCCCACAGGGCTCAGTCTTAGGTCCCACGTTATTCCTCGTCTTCATAAATGACTGCGTCAAGGACCTAGACTGTGATGCCATCCTGTTTGCTGACGACATAAAATTGTGGAAAGTTATTCACAATGCGGCAGACGCAGACCATCTGCAAGCAAACTTGAACAGGCTCGAAGACTGGTCGAAGCGCTGGCTTATGCCCTTCAATATAAGCAAGTGTAACTTTCTTCAACTCGGCGGCTTCAGAGCCCCCAGCCCCAGGACCTACTTTCTACACGGCACACCACTGCAACAGGTTGAGAGTCCGAAGGACCTGGGTGTATGGATTACATCTTCACTCAAACCAACACTGCACTGCGCGAAGGCGGCTAAATCGGCTACGGCCACATTGCAACTCATTAGGCGAGCATTTATGGGATTTGACCCTGACTGTTTTTCCAAAATATTTGGCACCTTCGTGCGACCTCATCTAGAATACGCCATACAGGCGTGGAAAACCTGGACTGCCAAGGATTATACCGTCTTGGAGAAGGTCCAGAGACGGACGACCAAAATGACACAAGGTCTGGGAGCACTGCCCCATGAAATCAGACTGTCAATCCTCAACCTGTTTCCCCTTTCCTACAGGCAATTACGCGGTGACCTTATACTAACATTTCGCATCATCAAGGGCCTAGACTGTTGTTTAGATCCCACTGATTATTTCACCCAAGCTAACACGCCCACTTTGCGCGGTCATCCCCTAAAACTACGCGCAGGGAAATCAAGAATCAATGGACGGAAGTTCTTTTTCAGTAACAGAGTGGTTGCAGCGTGGAATGCCCTGCCTACCGGTGTTGTAATATCCTCTAGTGTAAATTCCTTCAAGTGTAGACTTGACATGCATCAAGCTTCCCAATTACCACCCTCACATCCACTCACATAACCCGGTACCACATTATATGTGTTTATACCACTTGTAATTAATAAGTAACCGTTAATGATTACTCTTTTTCGACTAACAGTCAGCTGTCCGCGAGTATGTACAAAATCCCTTTTTCACCTTCCCATTTATCCATGTTTTTCTCCGACGACTTGTAACCCATAGGGAGTTCAAAGCCGCTTGCCTATATTTCCCTTAATAAACTGATACTGATTTGCTGGAGTAATTGGATTCTGAGCAGCAAATGTGGTTGAAGTTGGGCCTCGTTACGTAAAGGAAGGCCTAGGCACCTGCTCAACACCAAGACCCTTCTGAAAAATGCCATTTAAGTTGTAATTTCGCTATAATGGGCGGGAAGAGACCACCGAGATGGTAGCTGCCTTCACTTCTGTTCTGGTTAGATAACAGACTAAGTATTACTACTACTACTACTACTACTACTACTACTACTACTACTACTACTACTACTACTACTACTACTACTACTACTACTACTACTACTACTACTACTACTACTACTACTACTACTACTACTACTACTACTACTACTACTACTACTACTACTACTACTACTGACAGTTCGACCATCGGTTTCGATGATGTCCACCGTGTGCCCCACAGTTGCAGCAGCAATGGGAGCAGGGACAGTGACGTACGCAGGGGTTTATAGTGCCGATAGACTTGCGTAGCATCTACCTACACTCTCTCCTCCTCCCTCGCCCGAGCCCGGTGTCAAGACAGTGTCAAGAAGACCGGAGACGAGAGAGGCCGCAGGTGGATGGCTCGGACGGATCCTCACCTTGGCGTTCCACCACACCCCCTGGCCCACACAACAAATAACCAGGATTTCAACCAACACAAGAGAGATTTGGAGGCTGGCACGACCGAAGCCGCACCTGGGCGTGCCGCCAACGCCTGGCTCGGATCCCACACTGTGATGGGAGTGCCATAACGGCAACATTAAAAAGGAGCCATTGCAGCCTGACTCTCAGACCGCCTCCGGTCAAGGAGGAGGTCCAAGGTACCCCGTCAGTTGGCAACCTTCCAAGCCACGGCTTTTAGCGCACCGTGATAGCTTCAAGCGCGTCAGATTGTTTATAGTGAGGAGAAAGTGCGCTGAGTCGTCGACCTCACTCTCCCTTCCCACTCCCACACCCCAGCCGCTGTCCGAGCCGGTCAGCAGACTGGAGTGGGGAATGGGCGCGGTGGCTGTCATGGTCGACTGACCATGACTGCGCGCGCCACGGCACGACCTGGCCACCCAGACACACAACGCCAGGATTTCACACAACGGGGGTTGAACGGCGTGTCTCTCACTTGCCGTGGAAGGTGCGGTTTCAGCCCGTCGCCCAGCCCACCAGTCCGCCACTCCACACAACACACACACACACACAACGCGACGAACTGCGTGAACCGAGAGCGGGCGTCAATCAGCAACCTTCCTATCCACGACGCTTGACGTGTCGGGATAGTCTCGGACTCAAGTCACCCGTGCAGCCGAAGCCGCATGGGGACCGAGTCGAGATGCACACTTCCCACTTGCGTGGGAGGTGGCAGTTGGGTGCATGAGGTGTGTGTGTTGATTTCTGGTGGGGTGATGGTGGTGGTGGAGGAGGTAGGGAGTGAGTGACTGTGTGGTGTGGCCGGCGGTTGTCTACCGCAGGTCGTAGTGGATGCGCATGTGGCCGAATAGGCTCATGCGATGCCTGAAAGTGCGAGGACAGTGTGGGCAGTTGAGACGAGCTTGGTGGGTATAGGTGGGTGCTCCAGGCACTGGTTCGCCAGTCTCTGTGCGATGGATTCGCAAGTGACAGACCAAGCCGATGCGTGAGGTGAATGTGCGTGGACAGTGTGGGCATGAGAAGTCGGCGGTGTCAGTGTCAGCTACAGAGGAGGCGGTGGTGGTGGTGGTGTCGCGGACGGATGGAACGAGAGTGGGGGTGTGCACGGTGGATGTGTTGGATTTAGTGGGTGTGTCGGGAGTGCGGTCCAGGCCGCTCTCGTGGATGCGCATGTGGCCGAAAAGGCCCATGCGATGCCTGAAGGTGCGAGGGCAGTGTGAGCAGTGGAGGCGAGTGCGGTGGGTGTAGGTTAGTGCTCCAGGCACTGGTTCGCCAGGCTCTGTGCGATGAATTCGCAAGTGACCGACCAGGCCGATGTGTGAGGTGAAAGTACGGTCGCAGTGAGGGCAGGTGTAGTCCTGATCCTCATCCCTGGAGTCGGGGAAGGTGGTGGTAGTGTCGGTTGCTGTGCTTGGGACAGTCGCCTGAGCGGCCGCCGTTGGAGCAGTGGGCGAGGAGGAGGAGGATGATGGAAGTGGTGGGTTAGTTGGCGGCGGAGAGGAGGAGGAAGAGGCAGGCGGGGGGACGATGGTTGGTGCCGTTCGAGAGGCGCAGTTAATCCGAAGATGTCCAACAAGTCCGATTCGAGCCCGGAATGTCCGTTGACATCGAGGACACGTTGGAAGCGGTTGTGCGGCGGCGTTGCTTACTGGGCGAAGTTGTGATTTGCGGGCTTCACGTTTCGCTTTGGCGGCAGCGATGCGGTTGGCTTCGTAGATCGCACCGCCTGTCTTCACTGTCCTCCTCCAGGTCGGTCGATCGAGTGCGAGCTCCTCCCAGTTGGTGAGGTTGATTTGCAGGCATTTCAGGGAGGACTTCAGGGTATCCTTGTATCGACGAATTGGGCCTCTATGACGGCGAGAACCCGTCGCGACGTCTCCGTGGAAGAGTCGTTTGGGTAGTCGCTCGTCGTCCATGCTCACCAGGTGGCCGCTCCAGCGCAGCTGCAGTTGTTTCAGTATGGCGTAGATGCTGAGGATTCCCGTTCGTTCCAGTACTTCCGTGTCGGGGATTCGATCCTGCCACTTCAGCCTCAGGATGCGACGAAGACAACTGAGGTGGAAGTGGTTCAGACGACGTGCCTGCTTTGCGTACACCGTCCAAGTCTCCGCTCCATACAGTAGCGTCGGCAGGATGACGGCCTTGTACATCTTCAGCTTCGTGCTCAGTTGGAGACCATGACGATTCCAAACTGTGCTTTGGAGGCGACCGAAGGTTTGACTGGCTTTCGAGATCCTGTTGGCGACTTCGTCGTCGATCTTGGTGTTGTGGGAGAGAGTACTGCCCAGGTACGGGAAGTTCTCCACCACTTGCAGGTGGGTCCCATTCACGCTGATTTGCGGCGGCGCGTTGGGGGCTGTGGCCGAGTTGGGTGGCGGTTGGTGCATCACCACCGTCTTCTGTGTGTTGATGACCAGACCGAAGTTCTCGCAGGCGGCGGAGAACAGGTCCATGCTCCGTTGCATCTCCTCTTCCGAGGTGGTGTTCAGGGCGCAGTCGTCGGCGAAGAGGAGTTCGTGCACGGTGGTTGTGGATACGCGCGATTTTAAGTGCATCCGCCGTTGATTCAGGAGGTGACCGTCCGTCCTGTAGGCGATGCGGATCCCGGGGCGTTCGTCGCGGTAGGCGTCCATCAGCATGGCAGAGAACATAAGACTGAAGAGGGTAGGCGCCAGTACGCAGCCCTGCTTCACTCCATTGGTCACTGCGAATGCCTCTGAGACAGCTCCGTTGACTACTACTACTACTACTACTACTACTACTACTACTACTACTACTACTACTACTACTACTACTACTACTACTACTACTACTACTACTACTACTACTACTACTACTACTACTACTACTACTACTACTACTACTACTACTACTACTACTACTACTACTACGACTACTGGGGCAAACTAGCACCCCATATGGACAGTTCCTTATGCCATTACGATCACCCGTCAATTATCCCTTCAGTGGCATCCAACAACTGAGGCGCCTCTGCAGGATAGTAAATTCTGCCCAGAGTTTGGCTGCCTACAGAAGAGGAAGGAGATGGGACGACATCCCACTAAAAATTACGTCGGATGATTTTTCGGTCCATGCCACATCAACCATTCGAGCAGTGTTCACAATGAAAAGCGCACCTCTGAAGTTTTCTTTACGAAACCAGACAAGAGCCTTCCTTCTGCCATAAAAGAACCACCCTTAGCGTATGGACTTTGAGATGAAATCAAACGCAGGCAAGGATAAAGTATATGGCCGGGGTCAGGGAAAGGCAACCAAGTCCTCCAAGTGGTTTACCCACTACGTAGGTAACTTTACTTTTTTGCATAAAGCAATTCTAACTGTTTTGCCGGTGATATGTTACAGGGGGTGGACTGTACTGAGAAACGCAGAGTTAAAGGAGTAGGCTGTGCTGTAATGTTCGCCGCCGGGTTCTCCGTCATGACGGCTATGTGGGTGGTAGGAATGTGAATGGGAAGATTCCTCCTACATTCCCTCCAATGCGGACAAATCTTTTACCTTTTACTAAGGAATCACGTGTTGGGTGGTGCAGAACAATGAGTCTATGCAAAAATTTCACAGCACCACGTCGTTGGGGGCGGTTCATAGCACTTTTTTGATTTTTATTTTCAAGTTCCTTCCCACGATTTCCTACCCCCTCGCTGTGTGGCCCTACCCGTATAACCCCCATTACCAACATTACCGTAACGCACGCTCCATCGGTCACCTTTTTCTGATCGCGGTCATATACTTCACCCTTGCCCAAACGCATATGTCCATAAAATTTGAAGGTTAACCTGGCCGAGGGGTCGCAACAGTCCGCTGGCAATTGTCCCAAAATCAACGTCCCTCCTCCGGAAGAAGCTACGTGTCGGTGGTGGCTGACGTGCGAGCGCGCAACAGTTTGAGTCAGGCCTCGCGCCTCCTGCACTCACAGGACCGCCGGCAGGATGTCTCATCGCTAACATGACCGACACATTTGCAACTTTGACGGACTTACCTCCCCCCACATAAAGTGCTTCAGAAGCTGTGTACTGGGATCCAGTTACTGCGCTAAGAGTTGAAGTTGAAACACACTTAGTCCTAACCAGTTCTCCTTACCTTGCCCCATGCACTCCTGACGCCTTGGAAGGTCATCAAATCTTCTCAACCCCATCCGGGTTGCAGCCTACAAGCCCGGCTGTTGGACGAGCATTCGTCCACTTGCCAGACAAGGAGTTCGCGAAACTGTTGGCAACGCGAGCAACGCTAGTGTTAAGCGTCTTATCCACGAGATGGCAAGTTTTCTCTTATAGAATCCCATATGTCTGACACCTAGTCATGGATACTACTTTCCCCCGTATGGTATCTAAACTTTGCATCCAAGTCAGCATGTGGGTGCGCTTGGGAACGCCGCCCGCCTGACTCGTGATTTGAGGGGGGTGGTGAGGGAGACCGGTGTTGAGAGATTGGCATCCGAGACCGGAGGAGGTGGCTGAAACAAATTTATCGACTGGCGTCCCGCTCAAGTGACCGATTGACCCAAGGTTCCAGCCCCGGGTCTGTCCCACCTGGGGTATGAGCGCTGGGGACAACAAACAAACCACAAATGACCACCCGTCTCCTTCGTAATGATCAGTAACACCTCTCCACAATTAACTGCTGTTGCCATGCAGGCGCCCGCGAGGGCTGTTGATCAGGGGCCTCAAGGTCAGGTAGACCTATGCATCCAATCCTGCAATGTAGGCAGCCAGATGACTACCACACAAAGGAAACTGAATATGTCATTGACTGTATGACAATACGTTTCAGGACAGATTAATGGACTGTGTTGGAAGAAGATGAAAGGAGGCTCAGAGACACACTGACCCAAAACCAGGGTCGTATCTAACTGGGAGAATTCGGATTCAGGATTCATCTGGCTTCAAGTTACCTCGCATGATGACATATCACTTTTGTCGGGAGCATTAACACACACTCCTCCATGGTAAGGAGATACCTACATTCCTAATGTAGCCAACACAAAAGGGAGCATCGTACTGACGAGGTGGGAGCGAATTGAGGAGAGGTGAGACTTCTGACATCATAATTTAATAGCAGGTAGCCTGAAATACACGGAACGTGTGCAGGTGTGTATCTGCCAGTATAGATGGAGTGTCAGACTCTGAAAATACGTGAAACAAGACCCCGGTGACTAACTTGAGGTCGAAATAATAGTCTCACTGACAGTCATGCAGGCAGACTGGTAAACAACGCCACGACTACGATGAAGAAATAGGTGAGCAGTGTGACAGTTCATGTAGGGCAAACGAGCTTAGCGAGGCTGAATTCCAAAGTGGAGAAGATAAAACCAGGTAAACGGGAGGAAGGTATCAATGCGATTTACCGTACGGTGATATTCTAGTTTATATTACATACAGGATGCAATGAAGGCTGACGAAATTTACGCTAAAATTGTTAGTCACTAGCAAACCGGCACAAACAACTAAACCACGGCCTTGAAATAACGAGCGACTTCAAATGAATTGAAAAGATATTAAAAGTGGCGTTACACTTTTTAGAAATGTCAACATTATTAGAAAAGCAGAAATTTCCAAAAACGTCGCAAATAGTTTTAATTGTAAAGGACAGTTTCCGGAACAGACTAGGGCGATAAGTAAAATATGCAGCATTCTAGTTGCCACGCAATTGATCGTCTCAATTCACGCCATCAAGTTAGGCCACATATTGCATATATCAAAGTAAAAATTGAGTCCGCTTTCCCACTGGCCTATTGGTAAACTTCCCAAAGTTGCCGGACCAAGTGCCTCATGCAGGATTGTGGGCCGCCCAATAGTATGCTAAGCGTTGACGCACTTACCTGGCCGATACCGTCCTGTGAGCTGGTGTTTCGCTATTGCTTCCTTGTGAGCGGGAGCCTAGTAGAGGCCTAGAAACAGTACGAAGTTCGTGGTAAACCAGAGGAAGGGCTAGCTATTATGTTCGCAGTCGTTAAGTTTCATCCTTTCCATAGCAGGACGGTGTAGAAGCGAGAACTATCTTCCTATGACCTCTCAAGTGTATGGACCGACTGCAAAAACATTTACCGGGAAATCTGGAGTCATGACCATTGGAGCCTTCAGACATACCTCCCCAGAGAGTTACATAAACGAAGACAGTGTGATAAGGAATTTCAGACACAAGCGGACTCCCTTTGAAGCCCCACGAGCATTAGAAACGGATAATACTAAACTCTCCCTTATGAAGTATTCAGGCTATTGACCTGTGAACAGTCGGCCACAACAAGTGAACAGCACCAACAGACGAAGAGGTGCGACCGGTCCAAAAATGGTTGCTATCCCCGCTTCCGAGGCCTAATCGCCTGAAAAGACATCAAAGAGCAAGGGATACCATAAAGGCAAGAATTTTCCCCGTTGAATAAGAACAGTGAGTAGGCTGAGATGAACGTGAGTAAAATGAGGATAGTTGGATGGACGTGAATAAAAAACGTGAAACATGAGATAACCGCGACAAGGTTCCTACGCGGCAGTAGCATTACCGACACGATATTAATCAGAGGGCTGCCTCCGGGGCAGGTGCTGGGTCGAAGCACTGCCCCTAAAGTGAATAGACAAGATATGTCCACTGTATGTGTTGTGGTACTCCTCCCCTTGAGGACGGGTGGCTCGCCGGGCAATACCCGAATTATCAGATCGTGTCGGCGACGATGGGGTCAATTTGCGAGGCCGAAAAAGGGGGTAGTAGTGGGAAAACAGGAATGTCAAGGAATGTCTTTCGCGGGCCACACAGAGGCCCGCGGGGAGTAACTTAATAATAAATCGGACGGAAGGGAATCTGGGTGTGAGAATAGGGGCAAGCGTTAAAGAATGATGAATGCAGGATAGACTGGAGAGGACTGCTGATGCGTAGCTAAAGTGAAGGGCAATGAGTGGGCGGAGCACGACGTTCGTGCCGTTGTACACTTCGTACCACTCCCGGCGCCAAAGCCGCCTTAGGTGACTCGGGATGGTGATCTGTGAAGACGGACATGAATGGCGGGCTGGACTCCGCCTTCGTTTGGTCCACGACGTGCTGCAGGAGACGGGTGTCACGGAGGGGTAGACCGGAGACACCAAAGCCAGCATCGGCAGAGCCTGAGGACTTTTTACGGTGTGAGTGCGGGGAGCCGCTGACAGAGGCAATCGCATTTGCGCTCTGAAGTAAGAAGAGGCGGGTGCGCAGTGGATTGGCTCCACAGAGTCGACGTTGGACCGCCTCCAGGCGTGTAATCTAGAAGGAATCAAAAGAAATGGTATATGCAAACGGCTCCATATCTGTTATAATAGGGGATGCATCTTAAGTTAAAAAATAGGGGAGGAAACGGCGCGGAAGAAAACAAGGGCTGAATTGTAAAAAATTAGCAGAGGACCAGTGAGTAATTGGCTTGGTAAAGGCAAAAAGGGAAGGCTGGTGACTTGGAGGGACGCTAGCCCACTCGAAGCTGTGGTGGAAAAGTTATCAGTTCGCTTGCTGTAATATACAACAGAGCACTCTCCTTCCCACCCACCTGAGCACGGTGTCATGACAATGTCAGGAAGACCGGAGACGGGGTCGGACGCAGGTGGCTGGCGCGGCGTGCCACCACAGTAACGCGTGCCATGCTCTGAGATGGCTTACGTGTTGATCCAGCGCACCT